ATTTTTTTTTTTTTTTTTTTGGTTGCAGTTGTCATTGTTGTTTAGCAGGCCTGAGATGGGCTCAAACCCACCAGCTTCGGCGTATGTGGCTGGCATCCTACTCACTGAGCTATTTCCTATTTTTTATAGAGATAGGGTCTCGATCTTGCTTGGGCTGCTCTTGAATTCCTTCCTGGATATAAGCAATTCTCTTGCCTCAGCCTCTCAAAGTGCTGGGATCACAGGTATGAGCAATAGCACCCAACCCATTACTACATTTTTAATCTTCCTGAGGTAGCTGGTGTACAATAAGCAAATATGTGTCTTGTTTTGTTTTGTTTTGATTTGATTTTCTGAGATAGGGTCTCACTCTGTCACCCAGACTAGAGGGCAGTGGGGTCATCAAAGCTCACAGCAACCTCAAACTCCTTCGCTCAAGCAATTCTACTACCTCAGATTCCCAAGTAGCTAGGACTTACAGCCACATGTCACCACATCACCACAAAAATAAAAATTTTTCTATTTTTAGTAAAGACAGGTTCTCACTCTTGCTCAGCCTGGTCTCAAACTCCTGAGCTCAAATAATCCTCTGGCCTTAGCCTCCCAGAGTGTTAGGATTATAGGTTTGAACCACTGCACTCAGCACAAATATGTATTAATAATACTTATCCCCTTCCTTTTCACACAGAATATTATTTACAATAATACACAGTATCTTGCATCTGGCTTTTTCTTACTAAACAGCCTAGCTTAGGGTTTGCCCTCAGTAAATACAGAAGTGTCTTTTCTTTACAACAGCAGCATAACACCTAATACTCCACTGTTGGATGCACCATAATCAATGCGCTTCAACTGTTTTTGATATTTTGCTGTGAAAAGCCTAGGACATACAATCATTTCATGTGTAGGAAAGTATGTCTGTAAGGATAAATCCTAGAAGTAGAATTGCCGAATCAAAGATATATGAATTTGTGATTTTAAGAGATTTTTAAAACAGTGACAACAGTATTCCTCTTAGTCTTAAGAATGACCCATTCCTTGCCAACAAAAGAGTAGGAGAATGTGAAGCAGTGACGGGCCACTGTGGGCACATATGCTGCAGTTAATACCCAGTATGTATGTTCCCCATTAATTTTTCGTAGATTTCTCTGTTGCTAAGTACACAGAAACACAAAAAGTAACTTTTCATACCTCTAGTTGTTACAGGTAATAAAATATTATTGTCTATAATGAAGAACCAGAAGACCTCTTGGTTTCTCTGAATTTATTTTCTGTAAAACCTGTAAAAATAGGGTAATTCTCCTTCCTACAGATGATTACGAGACTAAGAGGTGCTTACGAAGGTGGACGTACTTTGTAAACTAATATAAAGCTGGATTAAAATTAACAACATAGAGTCATCCAAAACCCTTGTCAAGGAACCATTCTAGGGATTACAGGGGAGCCCTAATTTTATGCACTAAAAAAAAAAAAAAAATCACTAAAATAAATTGAAGCCATCATTCTGAAGAGAATTAGATTAAATTGGGATCTAAATACCTAACTGATATTTAATAAGAACTAAA